TGCTAAGAGTAACTAAAATACTGTTAATACTTGAAGGGCTATAATAGTCAACAAATTGTCCACCACCAACTTTTTATATATGTGATTTTGTTTTTTGTTAATTCTTTGAGAATTTCATACATACTGCAATATATTCTGATCATATTTACTCCTGATTCCTCCCACTTACACCCAACCCTCATCTCCTGCTAACTTGGTGTCCTCTCTTTTTTTAGATTTATTTTTAACTATGTATATGTGTTTGTGCCTGTTGGGACACATGCACTTCAGTACAGATGCCTGAGGAGCCCAGAGGTGTTGGAGCCTCTAGAACTGGCATTACAGGTGATTGTGAAATCTGACTATTGATGCAAGAAACAAAATGTGGGTCCTCTACAAAAGCAATATTTGCTCCAAACTTCTGATCAATCTTCCCATTCCACGCTCACCTTTTTTATAACCCACCAAGCCCAATTTGGGCTACTCATATACTCATTCATGTGGAGCCATCTGCTGGAACATGGTCAGCCTACCAGGAAACACATTCTTAAAGAAAACTAGTTGGTCCTCTCCCTCCCTCAGCTGTCAATATCTCCAGTTTGTGAGCCTTTTTCCTTGCACGCTCATGTTAGCTAACTTGATCTTGTACAGACACCACAGTTGCTTTCACTGCATGGTCCTGTCTTGTCCAAAAAAAAAAAAAAAAAAAAAAGCAAAAATACTGTTTCACTATGGTTCTCCCCAAACCTACTTCTATTATTTTCTGAAATAAATTCTGTCAAGTAAGCATACTATGAAACTCCTCCTTTCCAGATTAGAATCTCTGTACATGTAGATTAGTGCAGCTCCCAGACCTCATCAGACATGCTTCTTAGTGAAGAGGATGTAGCTAATGCAGAAATTCACAGCTAGTCAAATGCAGAGATAAGGACCTGTGGAGCTACATATGGGACTTCTGGATCACAGGCTGTCCCCTGAACCCCAGATTCTGAGACCAGCGTGGAAGAGGTGGCAGAAAGATTGTAGCTTCTAGCTTTAAACTGTGCTGTTCCAGACCACTGAGGGAACATCTAGAACTTTCCAGTCGTTGTCTTAACCCTGAAAGGAGATACAGTGGTTGACCTAACTGTCTTGCTCTTTTCCTGAGTCTTTTTTTTTTTTTGCAGTTACTGTGGGTTCCAAGTCTGACCATAAACGTCTTGCAGTAAGAGTCAAAACTCCTCTGTAGGCAGTAGCTTTCTTGTCATCAACCAGGCTTCTCACGACACTCCCGAGATAACGATCCCCCAAACAACAGGCAAGCCTAGGATGCTAGTCCCTATATTCACTTCCTATATGCTAAACAAATTTATTTTCTACTTCTGCTCTTCCTACTACTATGACTTCTTTGGTCATTCAGGCAAGTGGCTGAGCCTGGTCAGTTGGGACCCCCCAAATCAGGTTGCTGCCTTGTGACCCTAAGAACACAGTACTTTTCTCTCAAGTGTTTTCCAGTGGTTGGGCTGTCACTACATTAAGGACACAGCTCAAGTCCCTCTGTTTGATCACAAACAATCCTCCAGTTACAATGATTTTTACTGCCATTATATTCTTGCGAGGAAGAAAATATGCTAGTTACTTGGACTCTCCAAGTCATTCTACCTTATAAGTTAATAAGTGAACATTTGTTGTAGGGAGCATGGGCCCTTTGGTTGTCCCAGCCACCCAGCTAGCTTAACCCCCAAAATAATCACACAGAAACTGTATTCATTTAAACACTACCTGGCCCATTATTTTTAGCCTCTTATTGGCTAACTCTCACATCTTGTTTTAGCCCATTTTTAATAATCTGTGTTCACCACAAGGTCATGGCTGGGAAAGATTTAGCATGTCTGATCTGGCAGCTCTGTGGCGGCTCTCTCTCTCTCTCTCTTCTTCCCAACATTCTGTTCTGTCTACTCTGCCTACCTAAGTGATGCCCTATCAAAAGACCAAAGCAGTTTCTTTATTCAACCAATGAATGCAACACATAGACAGACGAACTTTCTACACCATTTTTGTTTATTTTTTAATTTCTTATTTATTTTATTTTATTTTTTGAGATTTTCGAGACATGTTTTCTCTGTAGTTTTTTGAATCTGTCCTGGAACTAGCTCTTGTGGACCAGGATGGCCTTGAACTCACAGAAATCCACCTACCTCTGCCTCCCAAGTGCTGGGATTAAAGGCATGTGCCACCACCGCCCACCTAAGTGCTGCCCTATCAAAAGGCCAAGACAGTTTCTTTATTCAACCAATGAAGGCAACACATAGACAGAAGAACCTCCTACACCAAACATTGTGGTCTATCTGCCTTTTTCTCCTTTTCTTTTCTGTTTTGAGACAGAATGTCATGTGGCCTATCCTGATCTAAACTTCCTATGTAGCCAAGGATAGCCTTGAACTTCTGATCCTCCTACCTTCTCCCCTCAAGTGCTGGGATTACAGGTTTCATGGTGTAAGTCACCCTGCCTGTTTATGTGGTACTGGAGACTGAACTTAGGGCTTCCAGCAAGCTAGGCAGGCCCTCTACCAACTAAGCCCTAGTCTCAGCTCTCTGTCTACTCTCCCACTGTAGGTGATACAGGTGTCTATCTAGGAAATGCCTTCCCTCTTGTGGTTCTGATGAAATGTGACCTTTTTTTTTATTTTGCTGGGTTGAGAGTTAGCTCCTGGCTCAAGTAAATTCATGAATATAGTGAATACACCCATGCAACCTCTTGGGCAACTGATGCATTGGTCTTTCCACCCTGAGATGGCATCCTACTAATAATAATGTTACCCAATTTTATAGATGAGGAAACTGTGATTTTCAAAGGTCACATGAAGCCAGGACCTAGGTTCATGTGGTTTTAGAGTCTATGCCATTTTTACACTGCATTTGAGATAATCAAGAAGAGATACATTTTTAAAAGTCATTTCATTGTTGAACATTTTTAATAATGTGAACTTATTTTATTTTAATATATTGTCAAACCAATGTGGTTCATTTGTTTATTCATGAATCATACATACATATACACATACATACATACATAAATCCACTTGTCCATCCATTCATCCACTCAACAATCCATCCTTTACAAACATTCAGTATATTGCCCAATAGAAGGTACTAAGAAGGCAAAGTCTTACCTTTAAGGATCTTTCAACCTAAAGAGTTATAAAATACTTGTAGGGTTAACAAGACGGCTTAGCAGGTAAATGCACTTGCCATCACGTCTGATAACCTAGTTCAATCACAGCACCCAAATATTGGTAACTCCTTAGAACCAATTCCCACAAGGCCCACATGTGTGCTGTGGTATATATGCATACTGTTAGGGTCCAGGCCTGAAATAAATCATTTCTCATACCAGAGAGGAGGCGTGAGAATAAATGAAAACACAATTCACAAGAGAGTACTGGGAGGGAGTTTCAGTGATCATCCAAACCCTGAAATCACCCACGTTTATTTTTCAAACAGGTTTTATATCAAGGTAAACTGAGGGGGAAGGTAACATAAACCTCATTAGCATTGTTGCCTAGTTAGCAGGGGAATGACTTAGGTCATATCTTGCCTATGCCTATTTTATCACATAGACTGAAAACACCTCTTCTCTAGGTGACCTCCTAATTTACAACAGAAGGAGCAGAACAACATTAGCACATCCTGACACCAGTTGAGGTGGTGCTGTGTTTGCTTTGCTTCAAAACAGCCAGGTGATCCCCTCCTGTGTGGAAGGTACAAATTGTGTCTTGTAGATTGCTCAGATTCTTTGAGCACCAGACAATGTGGAATATGGGCTGCATAATTCAGCCTCCACAATACCCCCTTCCTAATAATTTTTAAAAAGTCTGTGCTTCTGCAACAGGACAGATGATTTCATCTGCCTTAGGCAAAGACTCCTTCATTTACCCAGACTTACCCATCATTGGAACAGGCATTCTAATTATGTAAGTTCCTGTCTTAGGCATCCAGGGTGAAGAAGCTTCAAACCCATATCTGACTACTGACCTCTGTGAATAAAGGAGATTAAGGGAGAGAAATACCTTTGGGCTCTGTGTCTCAGAGCCAAACTTTCTTGTCAAAAGAGTTCATAATGTTTTATGGAATAATCACACTCCTAATGACTACAGTCTCCTAGTTAAAGGAGAGGAGGACCAACTGAGTTGGAAATGTTTACTTCAGTTGGCCTAGAGTGCCTCTTAACAATTTTATACTGTATCAAAATCTAGAACTCTTAACAAATACATTAAATCCAAACATTTACAGGGCATTCAAACTTTTCTCAACATCTTATAAGCAGTTACAAGCATTACCAGGTCAATACCATAATTCTAAAATGGGAATTAACAATAAATCCACAATTTGACATATCACAATTTTCTTAAATCCATTCTAACAAAAACACAAAAAAAGTTTTGTTTTGTTTTGTTTGTTTTGACAGGCAAGAGTCCAATGATATTGCTGCTATCAGTCAAACTCTTAGGCTGCCCCCACCCCTTGTATGTGAAGAGGGGCTTTAGTCACTCCTTATTTTGAGTCTTTTTTTTGCTGAGGGAAAAGTTTAGGTCTTAGTTCTCAGGTACAATATTTTAATCAAATGAGTCCTGTTTCCCAAAAATTAAAACAATCAAATGTTCAGTCTGCATTTCTAGTTCAACTCCAAAGTAAATGGGATTCAAACTGTAGCAAATTGTAGTCTTTGCAGCAAGACCTCAGTGAGTGTGTGAGTCCTGAATGTCTGGAAGCAGCTCAGCATCCTGTACTGCAGATCAGGGAAGGCAGGACCGTGGACTCGCTCTTACTCCTCTATGGGGGCCTTTGCAGCTACGATGTCATTGGGACTGCCATTCCTTTCCTGTACATGCAGTCATCTCAACCACCTTTATTTTCTTCCTTTGAAGAAAGCACAAACACATCCTCAACCCCAAATTAATACAGGGTCAGGCTTTTTATAATTTAGTGAAGGGTTTTTTTTCACCTTACCTTAGCAAAGTTGGCCTTAGTGCCATCCTTAGTGCCATCATGGCAAACCTGTCTGCAGCTTTGTCCATCCATAAAAAGTGTAAGACTTCAGGCATTATGTGGCGATTCTTGATCCTTTTAAATTTGCTTTTATCCTTTTAAATTGTTTTTAATGAGCCATAGGCACACTCCACAATTTCTTTTCACTATTAACCATATATGCAGTTCTTCCATTGAAAGAACCATCTATAAAATTTAGCATAACAGCCTTTAACGGATCTTTAGCTATAACATAAGGAAAATTAAAGAAATATAGTGTGAATTGCAACAATGATCAGCTGGAAAACGATTATTAATCTGGTCTTTAAACTGAGTAAATGCAATTGTCCAAGAATCACTATTTTAAAATTGTCAATTAATCTATTGCTTAGTATAAGAAACATTAATCATAGTTAGTTCTCTGCTAAAATATCTCCTAGATTCTAAACTGTTCTTCTGTACTAAACAAGCTATTGCTTCAAAAATAAGAGTTTAATATCCTAACTAGCAAAATGGGAAGGTGTAGTCATAAAAAGAGGATCATTTTCCCATAAAACGGCTATACAATAAGTTTTGTATTTGCTGTTTTTGCAGAGTTTACTGTACTTGCTTGAGTACCTGTCTGGAAGCTTCTGTAAGTTATCTACTGGAAACTGGCTCATTGCTCCTTTTAGGAATTTTTTCTTAGTGACTCAAGGTCTCCTATAAGAATATTATAATTAAGGTTTTAGCCATTGTATATCTAATTAAAAGTTTGTAAATTATTTTTTAAGTTGTAAGTCTTTCTTGTTCATAGACAAATGGATAAAAGAAAGCATATTTAACAAATAATGCTGGCATAACTGGATATCAACATGTAGAAGAATGAAAATAGATCCATATTCATCACTAAGCACCAGACTCAAGTCCAAATGGGTCAGAAGCCTCAATATAAAACCATTGACACTGAGCCTCATAGGAGAGAAAGTTTGAAGTATATTTGAATGCTCTGGCATATCCCAAATACAACCCCAGTAGCAATTAATAAATGGGATCTCCTGAAACTAAGAATCTTCTGTAAAGCAAAGAACACAATCAACAAGATAAAATATTAATCTACAGAATGGGAAAAGATCTTTGCTAATACATTCCAAAACATACAAAGGACTCAAGAAATTGGTCATCAAAAGAACAAATAATCCAATAAAAGTAGGGTACAGACCTAAACAGAAAACTCTCAATAGATGTATCTAAAATGACTAAAAGACACTTAAGAAATGTTCAACATCTTTAGACATCAGAAAAATGCAAATCAAAACAACTCTGAGATTCCATCTTACACCTGTAAGAAGGGCTAAGATAAAAAACACTGATGACAACTGAAGCTGAAGGGAATGTGGGGGAAAGAAAAACTCCTCCTTAACTGGTGGGAGTACAAACTGCCATTTGGCAATTTCTCAGAAAATTAGGCAGCAATCTACCTTAAGACTCTCAGCAAGGGGGCTGGAGAGATGGCTCAGAGGTTAAGAGCACTGGCTGCTCTTCCTAGAGGATCTGAGTTCAGTTCCCAGCAACTACATGGTGGCTCACAACCATCTGTAATGAGGTCTGGTGCCCTCTTCTAGAATGCCAGCAGAACAGTGTGTACATAATAAATAAATACATCTTTAAAAACAAAACAAAAAACCTTGAGTTTGATTGTTGGGGGGAAGAAAACCAACTCCCCCAAGTTGTCATTTAGGTCTACAGGGAGAGAAGATACTTAAAAAAAAAAGACTCAGCAATACCACTTTTGGGTATATACACAAAGGATGCTCAACCATACCATAAGGACATGTGCTCAACTATGTTCATAGCAGAATTATTTTGTAACAGCTAGAATCTGGAAACAACCTAAATGCACCTCTTTTGCATAGATGATAAATAAGATGAGAAAGAAATCAGAGAAATGTCACCCTTCACAAATAGCTATAGATACTGTAAAATATCTTGGAGTAACTCTAACCTCACAAGTGGGAAAATCCTGTATGACAAGAACTTTAAATCTTGAAGAAAGAAATTAAGACACCAGAAAAATCTCCTATACTCTTGGGAAGGTAGAACTAACATAACAAAAATGGCAATCTTACCAAAAGCAATCTACATATTCAACACAAATGCCCATTAAAATCACAGCAAAATTCTTCACAGACCTTGGAAGAACAATACAAAAACCCAGTATAGCTAAAACAATCCTGTACGATAAAGAAACTTCTGGAGGCATCACAATCCCCGACTTCAGACTCCATTACAGAGTCACAGTTCTGAAAAGAGCCTGGCATTGACATAAGAACAGATGTGAAGACCACAGGAACTGAGTCAAAGACCTCGGCTATTAATCCACAGACCTATGAACACCAGTTTTTTGACAAAGAAACAAGAAATGTGAAATGAAAAAAAGAAAGTATATTTAACCTACTTGTTTATTTTTAACTGTCCTGAAGCTGCAGTTCTCTGAGGCTACCTTTTAGCAAATCTGCCTGTCAAGATGAAGCCCGGCTGCATAGCAGGAGGCAGGACATGCTTGGCTTGGCCTTTCTGCTTTTTTAACTTGTAATCATAACATTAGGAGAATTCCTGAATCTTCTCCTCTAGAATTATCCATATAAGCTCCTTGACTCATGGGTCAGATTTAGCCTCTATGCATTTCTATTGACATGCTGTGTGCACTGACTGTGGGTTAAGCTCTCTAAACTGTCTTTGCCTCCTGCTTGCCTCCCTCACGCTGCGTGGGTCAGAGTCGGCTGGCTACAGCACCTGTGCATGTATTGTGACAATCTCAGTGGTAACCTTGGAAACCTTTCTGTGAATCGCTGCATCCCCTTCACTCTCCCAGCCTTTCAGCAGCTGTAGAAGTTGCATCTCTGTGACCACAGCCCTGCTGCTTAGGGGGATGTGCTGCCTCGGCTTCCCTGAGTCCTCAGTGGCCAGAAACCAGCAGCTGTGAGTATGCAGCCAGTGCAGGGGCGGGAATATGCTACTTACAAACTAAACATCTCTGCTCCACTTTAGCTCCCCTGGTTATCAACGTACATAACTGAATACTGTTTTTTGTCCCATATTTATATTTATTATTTACAAATTTTTACTCCTGTTTTTTTTTTTTATTTCCCGCTATTCTGTCTTTTAAATTCTACTACTTATTTCTGAGTGCTCCCGTAGAGCAATTTTCTCACAGGTTCCTTATGTTCTGTTCCATAAGTCTGGTCACTCTTCTGTGTTTTTCGGAGAGTGGAGATGTGGGAATAAATGAAGACACAATTCACAGACAGTATCGGAAAGGAGTTTCAGTGATCATTCAAATCCTGAAATCACCCACATAATATGGGCCTGCATAATTCAGCCCACAGCACACACCCACACACAAACACACCCCTCCTTTAACAAACACACACAAATGAATGTAATATAAATAGACAAACAAACAAATAAATAAATGACACTCATGGTACTAACACTACAAGTTCTGTTTCACACATGAAATTATTGACGCCATGCCATGTCTTCTCTTTCAAGAGTGACTTTATGAGACTCCTCTCTGCCCTGGGCTCTGCTACCAGGCTGAATGAGTTCATAAGCAGCCCACTCAGCATTGTGAAGGAAGACGTTATTTGTCTGTGCTGCTCAGCACACATCAGCGCAGTGGTAACCGCCCCCACGTTCCTCTAGTTTATCTACCTACTAACCCTCTCTGCATATGCTTCCCGACACTTTGAGCTTTACCTCTTGGTATAACACAGGTGGATGTGGGACACTGTCCAGTCACAGCACTGTGTGCCCATGATTATAGCAATGGAACTACAACCCAAATCTTGACCAGTACGAAGAGGCCCAAGAAGTTGGGCTTGAGTAGTTAGGAAAGAGAGATTCTCCCTTTTATCCTGCTGGTCTTGGACAAAAGGGTATGAAAGCCTAGAGTTCCCCTACTATTGGATAAAAGCTTATCTGAGATTGGAATCAACACAGAGCAGAGCAGGAAATTGGAAGGTCCAAATCCCATTGGCCTCCTGTGAATTCGTGGACATAGCTATGCGTGAAGCTAAGTTACCCATTCATGTTTTAATAAAAAAGCTACTACATTCATTTTCTATGATGCCAGTTTGATTTGGATATTCTGCCAATTGCAAACACAAGAAATGTGACAGTGCCAGACCCCCAGTCACCCATCTCTACTAACCCTTGACCTTATTTAGCTACAGTCTTCCTTGGATCTTCCAGCTGGTTCTCAACCTGAGTGAAGCCACCTCCAAAGTCATTCGTTCAAACTTCCCACTAACTACAATATCTTCTTTGCTGCTTCTTCAATTGTTTCCACTTCAGTGGTTCTTTGATCTTATCAGGACCCACTGACACCTACACAAATACCTAGTTTTCCAAATCAGTAGCTTTCTCTCTTTTTCCTCTTTCTTTATGGTCTAACTTTATGATGCATCTCATTAATTTTTCATAAATACTGTTCTCCATTGTCTGTCTTTTTCCTGTGTGCCGATCATGAAATAACTTATTTAAGTACCTGAAGATTGCTTGGAGAAATCTTACAGTAAGGCAGATGATGTCAACATGAATTTACAAGATCCAGTGTTAAACAATCCTTCAAAACTACCCACAACTCCTACATCTCTCCAACCATCTTTCACTCTTCCAAACTCCAAAATTACTAGTCCTGAACTTCATCATTCCCTTTGAGATCCCAAATTCTGCTATTGCCTTGCCTCTCCTCCTCTCCTGATATTTTTTGGATATGTGTGTGTGTGTGTGTGTGTGTGTGTGTGTGTGTCTGTATGTGTGTCTGTGTGTGTGCAGAGTCCCGAAGCTGACAATGGGTATCTTTCTTGGTGTAACAGGCTTCCATACCTTAGTAGGTCCCCAAACCTTAGTACACTGATTCCATGATGGCCTTAAAACCATTCAGGCCTTAAAACTCAGCATGTGGACAACACCAGCAGCCAAAATGAGAGAAAAAGCCTAATCCATCAAAGTCCATAGTTCTGGGAAAGTACTATATGTACTTTTTGTGGCTTCTGTAGTTCCACGTCTGGGTCATTGCTCTTGTTAATTAATGTATGCCAACCCAGGATATGGCTTTTGTGCTTAAATCTCATCATGAGAAAGGCTTTGGGATTCTGAATACCCAGTATAGCTTCTGGCTAGCTAATAAAAATGTTCTATTGGCTTAAGCCTGTGTCAGAGTAGTTTTCTCTGATGGATATCCCACAACACTCAACTGCTCTCCATTTTGTTTAATGAGGCAAGGTCTCTTAGTTGATCCAATAGTTTTCCAGTCAGCTAGACTAGCTAGTCAGTCAGCTTGCCCCAGGGATCCCCTGTTTCTGCAGCGAACATACATGCCTGGACTTCTAAATGTGGGACTTCTAACTCTGGTCCTCACTCTTGGGCTGTCGGCACCTTACCCACTGAACTGTCTCCTTCACTTATTTCTTCATTTAAATTTTGTTTAATGTGTATGGGTCTTTTGCCTGCATGTGTGTCTGTGCACCACTTGTGTACCTGGTTCTCACGGAAGCCAGAAGCAGGGAGACTGATCCTTCAGAACTGGAGTTACATAGCCGTGAGCCTCTACGTAGATGCCAGGAATCTGGAAGAGCCTCCTGTGCTCATAACCGTTGAGTCATATCTCCAGACCTCCAGTCCTGAGAATTTCTCCATCTTTTTATTCTGGAGGAAACTTGGGAGAAACTTTTAGGTCTCAGGTAACTTGTATATAAAGATTCATCTAATCTCTTGTTTGTACTTCTTTGGCATGACCATTACATCAAAGGTATGATAAGCTAGCAAAACTCTCAGTGCTCTTGAGAAAGAAGAGAATGTTATGTCTTTTGATCTGTTTACTTTTGCCTAAATGCAAGTCAATCATAGTCTTGTGGTTCTTCTACCTGCAAGGAAACATCTACAATCATAACTAGGGTAAGACACTATGGATTCCCACCCTTCTTTATTTTAAATGAGACAGGGTCTCACTATATAAATCCAGCTGTCCTTAAAATTGATCTGTAGATGAGACTGGCCTTGAATTCAGGGATCCTCTTACCTGTGCTTTCTGAGTGCTGGGATTAAAGGTATATGCCACCATGCCCTGCATATTCTGGTTTTTTCCTTATATGATCCAGGCATAGTGTTCTATATCTGTATTTCCAGTACCTGGGAGGCTAAGGCACGAGAATTGCCACAAGAGGATCTTATCTCAAAAATAAAGCAAAAATGTCCTACTTAAAAAACATATCTGGGGGTTGAAGAGATTGCTTACGGTTTAAGAGTACTTGATGTTCTTGTAGAGGACTGGAGTTCTGTCCTCACATCCACACGGCAGCTTACACGTCTATAACTCCATGTCCAAGGGATTTGACCCTTCCTATGGTCTCTGCAGAGAATGAGGTTAAGGAACAGACAGAGGTAGAGAGAACAGAGAGAGGGAGAATTAAAAATAAAACAAATCTTTTAAAATGTCACATTGAACTGAGTTTAACTATCTTTCAAAAATTCTGTCTGGGTATTGTGTAATCCCTGTCTCAGAAGAATCATGAAATTCAAGCACATTCTGGGCTCTACAATGAGACTTTCAGCAAACAATCAGACAGATAGAAACCATACCAAAAATTGTAGTAAGAATTATAACTCATATAATATATAAAGATTTTTATATTATTACATAATAAATTTTAATCTTAATAAGATGTAAATGAAGTATTTCTATGGTCTGCAGTAATTGTAAAATATATTTTTTCCTGTTTTATCTGTTGTGGAATAATCTTTTTGTACACTGTGAAGATGGAAGATGTGTAGATGGTTGGTTTAATAAAATGCTGAGTGGCCAATAGCTCGGCAGGATTTCCAGGCAGAGAGGACACTAGGGAGAAGAAAGGAGAAGTCACCAATGGGCGCAGAGAACAGACATACAGGGGGAGAGGTCAAAGTCACAAGTCACATGACAACATGTAAATGAATAAAATGGGTTAATTTAAGTTATAAGAACTAGCTAGAAACAAGCCTAAGCTATTGGCTGAGCTTTCATAATTAATAATAAGCTTCCATGTCAGTCGGGGAGCCAATGGTCCTGACAAAAAATCCAACTACAAATGGTGTCCAATGTGGGGCACATATTTCCACATAAGACCTGAGAAAACTTTTTAAAAGGTTCCAAACACACAAAAGTAGAGCTAAATGTGACTTCCTAGTTCTGCAGTCTCTCATCCACAGGCTTTCCTAAGGGGGACAAAAGCCAAGCATATATTTAAATGTATTAGACCTCCATGTCTTGCTCCAACAGTATCTGGGACAGCTCAGAATTTGAGGGCCCGGTGAGAATGGGTGGCATTCAGACCAAAGACACTGTGAAGGATCTGAGCCACCACCTCACCTTCTACTGATGGGATGAGGAGACAGGAGACTAAGAAAAGGAGATGAAGAGCAAACTCTAGGAACATTTGGAGAAGAAAGAGTCCCAGGGGTCAGGAAATGAGGGCATTCCTGCAAGATCACTGAGTGCCTGAGGGCCCAGACCTTGGCAAATTCTGTGGACAAAGCCCACATCACCTACAGTCTAACAATGCCCTCCTTGCCATGATGATTTGAGAGTCAGGTATAAGACAGAACTGGTCTTGCATGAGCTTGGGAAGGTCACAGGGGATATCAACCCTGGGGGCTGCCACTAGAAGTGGAAGTTTGTGAAGAAGAGCCCTGGGGGGTTGGGGAAGGCAGTCAAAAGCCTGGAACCCAAGTGGTTCAAATGAGAAATGTACACATAGGCCTGGGTATCGGAACACTTGGTCCCCGGCTGGTGGTGCTGTTTGGAGAGATTAAGCGGGGGACAGCTCTCTGCTTCATATTTGCTTTTGAAGATGTGAGCACTTGGCTCCCTGCTCCTGCCACCATGCCTGCCACTGGCTACTACACGTCACCTCCGGGACACATTCTGACTCTGGAACCAAAAGCCCAGATAAACTCTTCCACAGGATGCCTTGGTCATGGTGTTTTATCACAGCAATAGAAGAGTGACTCATACAGTCTAGATTGTCAGTTCTGGGTTGAGCATGGATATTTATGCTCCCAAAGCTCATAACCTCAACAGGACCAGGGCAACATCAGGACTCAATATGACAGCTGACTTAGAAGAACTAGAAGGAAATGGGAAGGTACTGGTCCCAGAGAGACCACCACTCAGACCTCCATGATCAGAGATGCCAAAATGGCAATTACAGAACTGAGCTGTACCTTCTAGGCCTGGGACTCCATGAGAACTCTGAATGCCCAGTCAGAGAACAGTGTGAGAGATGTAGAGGCCTGTTATGACTCACAGCCCAACCGGATCCTGCTGCAGCAGACCTGTACAGAAGATCAGTACCTGCCCTGTGAAGATCAGGGTCAATCTGAAGGCTGAGGTTGAGAGCTACCATCACTTGCTAGAAGTGAAGGAGGTCATTGTCTCCATAATGCCCTAGACAGCACAGCTTCATGCAAACCACGCACAATCCAGGATCCACAGGGCCATGCATGGCAATGTGCTACACTGACAATCTGAGACCAGTGTTTGAGGCTCTGAAACAGAGAAGCTGGGGACCTTGTGTATTTCTATATATCATCCATTTGTTCCTTAATAAATTAGCTCACTTATGTACATGGGTACATACACATTTGTGTGCATACATGTGGAGGGCAGAAGACAACTTTTTGTGTCCTTTTTCAAGTGTCTTTCATCTTTTCTGAGTCTCTCACAGGCCTGAAGGTTTTCAAATTGACCACCAGATGGCGGTACATATTTCTTTCCTTTATTAAAAGACCTATGGAGTTGCTTGAGAAAATATTGTGCAAACCGGATTTGGCGGCTTGACAAGTGAACAATCAGCCTTTTGGGCAGTGGCACAGGTCCTAGGTGGGGTGGCTTGATTCCAATGACACCGAAACTGCCAGATGTCTTCACCACGCTGGACTCATACTGCAGTAGCCTGGGGTGCCATGCCAGCCAGATACCCCTGGGTGTGACCCCTGTACCTGATACTATGTCCAGTCCCTGTTCCTGGGTTCTTGAATAGCCTGTATACCTGGCCCCAGGCTTTGGAGCACAAAAGCATCTGCAGCTGTTTGATAACTAAAGAGGTCCTGCACCCTGAAAGGTGATCACAACAGCTTGTTCCTATTTTCCACACTCTGGGCTGGACTTTGGAACAGTCATGTTGCCAACTGGCACCCAGCTCCTGGGGCCCAGGTCCAGGCTCAGGCTTATAGAACAAAACTCCAGCAACTGCCCATCGATTGCTAAAGTCACAGCAGAGACTTTGACTGGGCTACTTGATGCCTAAATAGGTGGCTGCTCTGGAAGCCTTCAAGCCACTAACTGGCAGTGACCCACGGATCTGATTCTACCTGGTGGCATCCTGGCACCTTATGACAGCTGGCCTGAGACTCCCTGCTGCCCCCACCAGGAGATCATCCTGCTGAGACACTGAGCGGCGCTGCCCTCCCCAGTCCTGACAACCGCAGGAGCGGCTGAGCAGCTTGAAAACAGTTGGGGCAAGAAGAAAAGAAGAAGCAGAGGTTTCAGGAGAGCAGAGATCTGGCAACAGGCTGAGAAGAACCAGTGAGGAGAACCAGGTCTCCAGAAGTTCCAGAGAACGTCAAGTCTTCAGGGTCCTAGGCTGAGAGCTGTAAAACTGGCCGCTGGCAAGGGCCACAATACACAGTTTAAACATGGATGTGTCAAGGTTTGTCTGAAATGCAGAAGACTGTTTGCTGCTGGAGGTAGAAATGGGAGCTTTAGAGAGAACTATACAATAATGTGTAAACTCGGGGCACCTGAGTTGAGATGGTCCGTGCAAAGGACTTCACTTCAGTACCAACAAAGCACCTTCAAGTACATACCACCAAGCTCATGAAGACCATGTTAGATCATCTCCTGCCAGGCTTCTTGACCTTGATGTTTTGAGCTGGGTTGTTCTCTTGTGAAGCTCTGTCTTGTGCAGGAACTACATTAAAGGGAATGTTCAAAGGGATTCAAATTTAAGTTTGGTGAGAGTGGTCTGGTCTTTTGGGGGTTGCGGGCACAGCCCAGTGGGCGGAGCACTTGCTGTGGCAGCGTTGAGGACCCGAGTTTGGGTACTCAGCGCACACATAGCAGCCATGAGGACCCGAGTTTGGGTACTCAGCACACATAGCAGCCATGAGGACCCGAGTTTGGGTACTCAGCGCACACAGCAGCC